AACTGCTCATTATGGGTCTGTAGGCCTAGTACAGTGGGGGGATTTTTCTTAAGAATATGCTTCTTCCACACCCAAAATCACGACTTAAAATTATGGTGCATGTTGCAGTTGTGTATCTTATGGTCATAGGTCACCAACATCACAATTTCACAAAGCACATAAAGGAGAGGAAGATGGGCAAGGGGCTATGTTTCTGCGTGAAGGGGCTGGTTATTTACCACTAAAAAAAGTTTAAATGGCAAAACATCATTTGTATCTGGATAACCCCTCAGGCTCTGTTGCTTTGTTACAAGAGACTTGGGAAAATGCTTGTTTGAATGAATTGAGTATCCTGTGATTTCTCCACTCTTCTTTTCCCTCCCTTGCCATCTTGTTTAAAGTTACTTTTTGACTTGTGGCTTTTTGGTGTGAATTTGGTGTGAAGTAGTATTGATGCAAGTTTTACTCTTAAGAAGCAAAACCAGCTGTAGTGTTTGCTGCCCTATCACTTTCATTAGCGGCTGTTGCTCAGAGTCTTGCAGAGAAGGCATCAGAGGAATTTAAAATGGTCAGTTCTGTCAAATCTCAGTTGCCATGGGCTTTTTGTTTGTTTGGATCAGGATTATAATGAAGATTCATAATTTGGAGGAATTGCTGCCAACTTTTCCTTTGGGTTATTCTTTCTTTAGTAGAGAGGGAGAGATCTAGTTATATTGCCTGATCTTGCTTTTCCTCCAGGCAGTCAGATGTGTTATGGTCTGTTGGGAGGGAAAGGTCTTTTCATGAAATCATTTTATAATGATTTCTCTGTTGGTTTTCATGGCTAACAGAAAACAAATGATAAAAAATTCCTAGCTTGATGACTGTAATGTTTTTATAAATGCCTGTATCTATGTGTGTTGGAAAAGGATTTGTCTCCATGCTTGTTTCGTCTCTTTAAAGATTCAGATTAATCCTAAAAGTGTTTACTCAGATGTGATGAATTACAAGTGGATGAAATTACATTGTTGTCAGATTGACTCATCACCCTGTTTTGCTTCCCTAGTTGAGAACGTTGACTTCTAGCTCTGAAGAGTTTGCTCACTCAAAGACCTGGGTTTTACACAGATGACGAATCTCCTTTAGAGATTTAGAGGGTTTTGATAGCTGGGTTTTGACATGATAATCAAGGATGAGAGAAAAAAAAGATCGGGGGTAGGACAGCTATAAGGGAAGGAAAAGCACTACCAGCCTCTCTGACTTACTTATGGCAAGCTTCTTCCCCAAAAAGATGCGTGGGGTCGTTAAGTGAGATGAGGAGAGTGGGGATTGTTTTAGGATCTGTCGGCTGGCAAGCAGTTTGAAATGCCCTGATGTCACACAGAGCCTTGCCCCCACAGCTGGAGCAAGTGGCAGTGGGAGATTATCTCGGCGTGGCCGTATCTCTTACGCAGTTGCGGCACTTCTGTCTCCAGGTCTTCATGCCTTTTGTAATCACGGTGAGTGTTGCTTGGACAGAACATGCTGCACCCTGGTGTCTCCCTTCACTCTGCATCAAAGGGGAAAAATAATAATTGCTTCTCAATAAAGCTTTTTCTAGTTCTGCGTATGATAAGTAATAGGACTATGATTATTAGAAGTAGGTTTTATCTTGTAGTCTTCTAAACCACTTTTGTCTTAGGAAGAGGAGACTAGGTGTGAGGGAGTTTGGACTGAAGGCCTCTAGGAGGACAGTACCTGTTTCTGAATATTTCTGCGTAATTCAATGAGAGTTTTCACGGCAAACTGAAGAGGAAAATTATTCACTGCCGTACTCAGCATTTTGCTAAATACTGTTCGTTCCCAATAGCAAAAATAGCCTGAATACCAACGAGGGCTTCTTCCTAACCTGTAACTATGTTAAAGCCTTTCTTGCCACAAGGGTAGTTTCTCTCAGTAAAAAGCCCAAAAATTGCACGCTGCAGAATGCACACCATGGACATTGCCAACAAGCTGCTAATGCCAATTCCCTGTAAAAATGAAGCAGTATTAACAAGGCTGCCTTGCTTTGGGGAAAACTTTCAGTGGGAACTAGCTGCTATGAAAGGAAAACCTGGTCTGCTGGAAGTGGTTGGTTGGGTTTGGGCTCTTTGCTGTACAGGATCTGCAAACTGCTCATGCCAAAAGTCTATTTTCTAGTAAATGCTCGGTTACTTTGTGTTTTCTGAAACCCTAAAAATAATTTAAACAGTCTGTGGGCACAGAGAGAGGATGGTCCTTCTCTCAGAATTTGGCGTTTCCAGTTCTGGTAACAAGAGCATCAGTTATGTTTGGTTACCATTTGGTGGCTAGCCTGCCTTCAGAGTAACTGTCTGCTGTGCCTGCCATTTAACAGTTATGGTTTAGATAAGGTAGGAGAGATTTGTATCTTTGAATCCTCAATAAATGAAAATGAGACTCTGAATCTAGTCCTAAAGCTGAAGATCTTCTCTTAAATTCCTGATGAGAACCTAAAATAAAGTTGACAGGAACATGGGATTGCAGACTGAGGTTGGGGGAGGAATGGGGAGGAGAGGTGTCTTATCTGCTCTTTGCAGGCAAGAGCTTGTTTTTATCTGTCTGGGTGACTTTAGCAGAGATTAAGGAAAACAACATGTGTGTTTCCGTGAGCAGAAACAAGCACATTCCCTTGGTAAGAAGTGTTCAGGAAATTTGTCGTGGGGCCCTGTCTAACACCACAGTTTTGCTGCTGTGGAATCAGTCTCCTAAATCCATAGCCGGAGTTCAGGAGAGACCTTCCTGACTGTGGTGGTTTACTGCTTGCACAGAATGGGCCAAAGAATTTCCTACACAAACTTTAAATATATGTATATTAAGGCACGGAGGTTGTTCTCCCAATTTAGATTTTGGAATTTAAACTTTCCCCTTGCAACTTAATCTAACTCAAGGTAATACAAAAGCAGCTTTATAAAATTATTTATTTGCTGGGGGGAAAGATACCTATCTGCACTTATGGCACCTGGAATAGTGATAGGAGGAAGCTTGTGGGAGGCATCTTAACCACTGCTTTCTAGCCCTGTTAAATGCCTACAGCTGATCTAAAGTAACACTTACATTGCTCTGAAAAATATATGCTGTTTTCCCCGGGTAAAAATTGTTAGGCTAGAAATTTTACTGCACTACTGGGAGAAGTGAGCTGCCACTCATTCAGTTCCTCATGCTGTCAGCTCTGGAACTTGGAGATGACAATCATTGGCACAAACACTGGTTTTGTAACCGAAACATCCGTTACACTTATGTTTTGCCTCCCGACACCTTTTGTTACGTTGTGAGAAAAGCCTGCCCTTGGCTCTCCAAGGTGCTGTAGCTTTTTTCCTCTAATGATTTCTGATGTGGTTACAATTGCCACTAAAGAAATTTCTGGCAGATTTAAAAATATGGGGGCAATGTCAAATGAACTGTTATTTCAAAATGCACACAAAAGACCTTGCTGATTTGGTTGTATTAATTTACATTCTTAATTTCTAAAAATTGTGACTTTATTATTTTAAATTGGAACAGAGCAGCTACAGAATCAACAGATTGTTGCCCTTTCAAGCAACAGCAGTCAAGGCCAAACTCATGTCATGAAAGATTGTCTGGGCTTTGTCATCTCTAAAGACAGCCAGGAGTTGCCTAAAGACAGAAGAAAGTTGCCCTTGTAGCCATGTTCCAGTTCCACAAAGATCTGTAGCTTGTGGGGGGAATAACGGCCATATTTATTTCTTGAATAGCACCCAGAATGTTAGCACTGCGTGTTTCAGTGCCTAAAACCAGAGGTGCTTTCCCCTCTGACTTCCTCACGCGGGGTGCGTGGTGGCGGGGGCTCCAGGGCGCCTGGTCCAAGTCTGGCACGGCTGTGCAGAGCCAGGGCAGCAGCGGGGGCTCAGCGGGCAACGGGGCTGCCCCGGTGGGAAGAAAGCTGTTCTCTTACATGTAAACCAGTTAGTTATGGTTTGGGGACTGGAAAGAGTTTCCTGAAGCTGAGCACTAGTCAAATTAGAAACGCTGTGCAGATACACAACATTTCTTTGGCTGATCTTCTTTCTTTTCACCTCATGCTGAAGTTGCAGTGTAAAAGAGAAAATTTTGCTTTAGATCTTTCATGTGCTATTCAATTACACAACTTTTTTGGGGGTTTGGCTTTGTTTTTTTTTTTTCTCTCCTTTCTTCCACATCTCTATTCTTCAGACTGCCAACTACATCTACTGTTCGTATTTGTCTGAAGTGGGAAGATTTTGAAGTACAGAAGCTTTGCCAAAGTTTTTTTGTGGTTTTATCCAAGCTAAGTTCTTCTGTTTCTGTGGTTTACTTGGGGCTACATATTCATCTATATGGAGATGATGATCAGAGTGGAAAATACGGGCATTTTGCTTTTGGCCTAGCAATTATGTCTCGTTCTGTAGAAAACAAAACAAACACAAAAGTCCTGCTTATTCTCAAAATATCTGGTTGTCAGACCTCTTTTGCAGAAGCTCCCTATTGTATCATTTTTGTAATGGACTGATAATGAGTGGGTTTATTCCCTTGCACCAGGCTTCTCAAGGAAAAAGCATTGTGTTTGTCTTCATCTTCTGTTCATTTTTCGTTCGTTTCTGGTGAAGTAGTTTTCTCTTTCTCCAGTTTCTACTATTTTATACAGGCCAAATGGCTAATGGTATTTAAAAGCATTTATAAAGTGCCTCTGGCAGAAGCGTTTAGGCACCTTCGTTCCTGTGTCTCTGCTGACTGAAATGGAAAGAGAGACCGTGCTTATATTTCTGTGGCTGGCTGTGTTGGGTGGCTATTTAAGGGCCGAAATGAGAAAGGGGGCTGATGTTGAAGAACTCCGGAAGATTCGCCCAAATTTGCTGATAATGAGAGAGGATATTTTCACCCCTCCCTTCTCTGTCTTGCTCTTTTCCTTTCTCTGCGTTTTGCAGGACTGCTTCAATTCCTTCATTGTCTTGCAGCGCACGTCCGTGTCCCGCCCTGGTGCTGTGGGGAACTGCTAGTCCAAGGCTCACTCTTTGCTTTTGCTGCAGGCTGAGCCCTTGGGTTTGAAGACTCGTTGGCATCACTGAGACTGGCACGTGGACCTTCAAGAGAAGAGACTTTCTGGCAGCCCTGCTCTGCCAGACCCTGTCCACCTGACCCTATGACTGGAGGGTTCACCGTAGCTCCGTCCTTTGCTCTCCAGTTCCACAAGATGGGTTCGTTCAGAAGGCCCCGACCTCGCTTCATGAGCTCGCCCGTTCTCAGTGACCTGCCGCGGTTCCAGGCAGCCCGGCAGGCTCTGCAGCTCAGCTCCAACTCTGCCTGGAACAGGTGAGCAGGACCCACGGGCTGAGCCCCTCTCCCTGCTGCAGCCACGCGTGGGCAAGGGCTGCGCGTGGCTTGCCTTTCTGCTGCAGAACATTTATGGCTAAGCTCCTCTGTTTATGAGCACGCTCAAGCTTTGCCGGCATTGAAAGCCTCCATGGAGGTGAAGAAATTAAACATAGTAGTGTTCAACCTTGGCTTTGGCCGACGTTGTTCGGAGGTACTGTCTTGAAGTAAAACCAAATTGCTCTTCGTTAACAGTTGCATCTTTTATGTACCATTTAGGAAAACACATTCCTAGTACTGTAATAAAGGCCAGTTTCTTAATGCACAACAGGCATTTATTTGCATATTATGAAGCATTTACCACAGTCAGGTTCCTCTGACAACTGCTAAGCTTGTGGCTTCTACCAGCATTTCCTCTTGACAGCAAATCCTGTCTGCAGCGGTGTCGTGCAGCAATGGCAACTGGAAAAACAATGTTCAGGGGGAAGAGTGAGATGCCCTGATTCAATCCGATGGTCTGCTGCTACCCAGAGCAGGTGTTGCCACCTGCCCGTGCCTTGTGCCGCCTCGCACCGGCTCTGCGCTCCGCAGACCCCCCTCGCTTGCTGACCTGGCTCAGCTTACTGGTGTTGCACAAAGGGAGCCCGGCAGAAACATCCCAGTTTTGGGCCAGGATGATAGTGAACTGAGAAGCGTGCAAACGCCGTAACCGGCCCACGGAAGGGAACGCCTGGTAGGGGAACGACGCCTCCTCTCCTTAGCCATGGCAAGCCTTTAGACCTGCTAAACCGTCTTGTATGCTGTCACTTTATGATTTCCTCTGTGCTGGTGAGAGAAGTATGAGTTAGAAGATCCTCCAACAGCACCTCACCAGCACTAACAGGGCTTAAAGTTGGGTCTGACTGAAGTGAGGGTGGCTGCAGAACGTCTCCCAGCACAGCCAGAGTCCTGCCAGACGCTGCAGGCTGGGTGGTTCCTGCTAGCATCGCCTGATAATGCAGTGTGATGTGCTTGGCAGGTATTGCCAAAAATACGTGTCTCCTCATAGCAACCAGCCTGCAGCACGCAGCAGAGATCCCCTCAGCAGCCACGTTAAAGAGATACCGGGTGTGACTGGGCTCTTTGTGAGCTGTGTCCCTGTAACTGACTTTCTCTCACTTGCTCTAGGCACAACTTGAGGTTAGTTCTGCTCTGTCTCCCGTGAGAGATGTAGGTAAACAAGAGTGATGACTTCCAGGGGAGAAAGAGTGGAAGTATTTAAGTGCAATTAACCTCTCCACCCCATGATAACCACTCAGCTTTTGGCGGCTAGCTCACACTGTGCTCTGTGTTCAATCATTCTGGTGGCTGTTAGTTATGGATGTTGTACTGTCTCGTTTCTTTTTTGACAGTGTTCAAACAGCAGTGATAAATGTGTTCAAAGGGGGAGGCTTGCAGAGCAATGAACTTTACACCCTCAATGAAAATATCAGGTAGGTTTCTGGAATGCATGAAAAGGGATTTTTGTTGCTGCTTGTTTTGTATTTGGTTTTGTTGCCCTACAGAACCACAGTTACAGGATACTGGTGAGAGGAGCAGGGATTGAAGCAAACTTTAGCACAGCTTTGGGGTTTCAGGCTAACTTCCTTCTTATTTGCTCTTGCGTGGAGCGAATGGCATGGGGCACTTGAGTAATGTTTCTCTGACTTGTGTGGATGTGTAGTTTTGAGAAGGACAGGACGTGTATTGACTTGGATTATAAGGATTTTGTCCCCTCCAAGTGAGTTTGCCTCTTCTGGCTGCTTTTTTTGCACATTTTTATCAGGGCATTTGTGATGGTGGTAACATCTGTTTTCTAAACCCAAGCTTCTCAGAACTGTGGAGTGTTTAAAATGAAAGCAAAACACAGGATTTAGTTTTAAAGCTTAAACTTCATATCATAATTTCAGAGCAAGACCTGAAAATACGAACCCTAAAGATAAAAAAGCTAAAACTCTAACAAACATTTTCTAACGCTGATGCTAATGATGATTAAAAATATCTTTTTTTTTTTTTTTTTTTTTTTTTAAACCAGGTTTCGTGATTATCTGTGGTTTCATTCTGATTATTTGGAAAGTTTGGTTAGCAACAGATAGGACTGTAGAGTAGATAACTATTTATTCTTGCCCTGGTTTGAAGTGCTGCTAAGAGGAGTTTTGTCAGAGCTCATGGGTGTAGTTCTTTCTCCCCCTCTCTTTCCCACTACATCCATATTCATTCATCATGAATGTTGTCATATAGGTCTTTGCTTCTGCTTTTACATTCTTCCCCCTCTATCCCTATTGCATTTTTCCCGAGTGCCAAGATTCAAATGGCAGTGTGGGCTTAGCATGTGCTAAGCAGCAGCCCAAACTACCCCTTTCCCTACTTTCAAAATAGATGCAGCTTGCAGGGCACGAGGCTCTATCCTACTTGGTGTGGTCCCAAAGGTGAAAGTTTAATCTAATTCCTTTTGAGGGCTGAGTGAGGGCAGTGTCTCGTGCTTTAATGGTACTTTAGTGTGCCCAGGTCAGAAGTCCTCGAGTTAGGTTTAAGTGCTTGGAGCAGTCTTAATCCTCTGTGGGATATTTCTGTACGTGAAAAGAAAAACAAATGTTGTAAGACTTTGGCAATACCCTAACCGGCAGCCCGTTGGCAGACTTGGGGACTGGGTTTGGGTTTTGTGACTCGCCTGGAGGCTGTTGCCTGCTTCCCCTCCCCAGGGCACGCGGGGCAAGCTCCTTCCCACCCCTGCGGCGAGGCAGCACGCCGGGCAGAGGAGCCCAGCGCCTGCACCCTGCTCTCCTCGTGCTGGTTCCTGGAGTGGATTGAGACTGTTGAGAGAGCCAGGCGAAGAGCAGGAAATTCTCTGTGAACCATGTATGCTCTGTGAGCAGTGCTGGCGGCGGGAGGGGACGTGCCCTCTTCCCACTCCCGCGCAGCACTTGGAAGCACTCACCTTCAAATACATGATTAATGTCCCTGCAGGTGCCCCGAGCGTTGGTTACGTCTCCAAATGTCATTCTGTAAATAGGCCACTTCAGCATCTGAGGAGCTCATTACTGCCCGTCCGAGGAGCGGAGGCCATGCGTCTGCACGCGTGTTTGCCTGCGGCTCCTGGCGCAGCTCCCAGCACCAGGTGAAGCTTGGTGTCATCTTACTGGATTTTTAAATTTTTTTTTTTTTTTTTTTTCCTTACCTCTCTGAAAGTCAGTTGTCACAGCAAGAGGAAAGGAGACGCGATTTCAGGCAGCAAGAGGTGACCTGGCTGTGATCAGGAGGAGGTCCCTCCCTTGTGCTGTCTGTAGGGTGCAAGCCTCTGGGTGCTGGTCTTACCTGTGCCGCCGGCTTCTCGGGCTTGGTGGAGAGGGCCCCGGCTTCTGGCGAGGCCGGTGGAAAAGGTTCTGACAGACAGGCCCCAAAGGCTTACCTGGTTTATCCATCTCAGAAATAGAAAGGTGCTTTGAGATCTGCAGGGTGAATACAACCGCTCAGAGAGAGAAAGAGTAAAGGCAAGCTGGCATGAGAATAAACGTGAAAGTGTTACAAAAGGGTGAGGGAGGGGGGGATGCTGTAAAATCGACTTTCAGCAAAGATTAGGAAAAGGTGTAGTTTGTCGGTAAGAACCCAGCCTGAGAACTGGATGGTCCCTGATTCAAATGCTATTTTCAAGCCCTCTTGATTATACTTCATGTCGGCGAAAAGCAAAACTCTTAGCAAAAAAATGCACTGTTTAGCAGGAGAAAGTGTTGGGGACCTTTTAAATTCTAGGCAGAATTTACTGTTACAGAATTTATACTCATAGTCACTGATAGCTGAAAGTGCAAATGCTCTAACTTTGTGAGTTGTTTTTTTTTTTAATGCTGCTTCAGATGCAAAACAATCCTGATTTTTATATCGGAGTCTTGAAATATATATTAGAATTTAAAACTTTTATCACAGCCTGATTTAAAATCCAACAGTTTTTGTCAGAAAAACTTGTTTAGACTGGCTTCTGCCTGCATGTATTTAAACCACCTCTTGTTAAATTTCTAGAATTTCTTTCTTGAAAAATATGACTTTTTTTTTTTTTTTTTTTAAATGCGGCAGTCACGGGGAAGCCAAAGCCGCAGCTTCTGCTTGTGTGTTTACTTCATTGCTCCTCTCCTTATCCTCCCACCTTCTACCTCCAAGAGAAAAGGAAGTACAGCATTAGGGAGATATGCTATTTTCAGTGAAATGAAAGGTGTCTTTCTTTAAAGAAAAAGCAGAAGAAATGATGAATTTCAAACTAAATTGTCTCCACAACTTCCTATGCATTCAGTGGGGTAAATTTTTTTTCTCTTGTTCTAGGTGTACGTCTTATAAATAGAAGACTTCAGGGAAACTGTTTCATTCCTTCATAATTTGAGAATAGCCTTTGTGGGCTTTTGTAGAATGTATACCTAAATGTAAAAGAAATCTAACTGTGGCCAAAATGACACATTCACCTATACTCACGTATCTTTGGTATGACTGATAGTAAAAAGCAGATATACCTGTAAGAAACGTCCAGTAATGGCTGTTACTTCATGACTGCATTCCTTCTGTCTACAGACGGCTGCTGAAGAGTGAACTTGGATCCTTCATCACAGATTACTTTCAGGTATTACGTGATTTGCTTGCTTTCTTTTGCAGTTTGCTCTCTTCAGCTTTTTAGCCCATAAAAAAATTAGGACCCCCCCCTTTTTACGTGCACATAGCCTACAAGTTTCATTTTTGTTTTGCTACAGAAGATGATGGAGGTACTGGACTTTTTTAATGCGGGCCATATAGCCTTGGGAGTATTCATATTTATGGGTATATGTGCTAAATTAAGGATAATCTTCCTTTGCACTTCAGAAAGGCTGCCAAGGTCAAGAAGGAATTCCCTTAAACTTTTTAAAGAAGATGGGATACATTTTCATAGGTTTTTTTTCACCATATTTCTCTAGTATAGAGAATTCAGAAGTAGGTTTTCTGCAACAGGGGCCAGCAAAGGGGAAGAGAAAAGATAACGGCTGTCTCTTGGGGGGCGGGGGGGGGCAGGCAGAAAAGGAAGTCCCTGTCAGCAGGAAATCAACCTGATTACTGTTTGCCTTTTAGTCCCACAAATATAAATGCAATCTGTGAAAAAGCAAAAGATGAAGGATGAGGGAGGACCTGATCAATCACAAATGTGAATAAGTGTTACTGTCTTTCACTGATACTGTCCAGATAAACAGGTTCAAGTGTGGCCACATGAAAGTGTGTTGGATGATTTTGAGAGCGCGCTGATGGCTTTCAGTGTTGTAGGTTGTTTGGTGTAGTGTTGATTAAAAAAAAGAAGGAGGCTTCATATAGGGTTTTTTTCCTTCAAGTGAGAGAGAGAGAGAATTTCAGTACTTTCTGAAGTGGGGGATGCTGCTGCGTACTGTGCTAACAGCTTTGAAAGGGGGAAGAGAAGACCAGTGTTATTTACTATCAGTATTAGACAACTTGACTTAAAAAAATCCCCCCACACCGTGCTATCAAGTGAGAAGCAAACTCCTGCCCCAGGGGCAGTTATGTTTCCCTTCTTTAGGCCCTATCTGAACGAGATGTTGACTGGAAAGAGGCGGCTGCCGGTGCCGAATGGCAGCGGGACGTTTCCGAGAGCGTGAGCAGGGTCTGGTGGCAGCCCGGAGGAAGGGCTGCGAGCCCACTGTGCAGGGTACCTGGCTTAAGTGGAGATCTGCTACTGCTGATTTCAAAACAGGCAAATGAAGGTTGGCAACTAAATAGATGTGGCTAATTGAACTTTGAAAGGTCTTGATCTCGTGCCCGGCGACTGCAGCGTTAGGCATGGTGTGCAAGGCTGGAATAAGCAGAACATGTCCGGAGGCAACTTCATGTGCCCATAGCAGAGCTGAGCACAGTCCTGAGGGATGTGAGGTGCTGATGAATGGCTGCTACCTGGGCGTGAAAATTCAGGGTGTTCTGAAAGAGGCCTGGGTGAGTTCCAGTGGCACCGAGTAAGGCACGACTGCATCGTGTTGCGGAGCGAGAGGAGCTAACGGCTGCCAGGGACTGGATGGCTCCCAGCATTGGGGTTTGGATGTGTTGTGCTCCTCTTCCAGGCTGTAAGCTTCCAGCCTGGCACAGTCACACCAGGGCTAGTGGCATTACCTGAGGCTCAGATCACTTGGTAGTAGAGCTGGTGACTGAAGAGACTACTTAGAGGACGGCCTGCTTGCTGCTAGAGGCTGGCTGTCTGTGTTGTGCTCCTCTTAGCAAGCCGAGGGCATCTGATCTTGTCTTGGGAGAAGGGTGTGATCACCATCACCGTTCTCTGCAAAAGCAGGAGCAAAAACTGTGCTTTTTTACCCTAATGGCAGGGCAGCCCTGCTTCAGGCACGGGCCGCGGTCGCGGTGCAGTTGTGCAGCACTGCGCTACCACCGTGGCCTTTGCCTCGGAGAGCGTACAGGGCAAGGGCCTGGCTGAATTTGTTTTTCTGTCAGGCTGTCTGTTCACACGTGCGCAAACACCTCGGTGTATTTGTACTAGTTTGCCTGCAGCTGCTCTTCTCCCACAGAAGCCACTGGGACTCAAATTTAATTTCTGGGATGTTTTTTTGCTCAGCGTTAAAAGGAGTTGCTTGGCATCCATCAGACTTAGCCTGAAGTAAAACTCGTGGTGCTGGCAAGCCATGAAACAAACAGTGAGATAAAGGCTATTGTAGGAAATGAGCTTTTTTTTCCCTGCTGTGAGCTAAGATGCAGACTTATTTCTGATTCTAGACTGACAGCGCGTGGCAGTGATAAAAGATACCACTCCCTCCTGAATGTCTTTACTCAAAAATCCTTGGGCCATGGAGTGGGGAGATGCTATTCATGAGCCAAAGAAGGGCTGACAACATTATTTCATTTGTCTGTGGGTTCAGTTTCACTGCTGATGCCAGCTCATTTATGGCAATACTGCTGCCACCAAAATGAGCAGAGTTGAATCAGTCTGCTGATTTGGCTGAAAAATAAACTTGAAAGAAAAAATGAAGTTTTTAACTACTTCCTTGGACTTGTGCTCATCACCTCCGATACGGGGGAGGTGATGGGAGCGGGTCACTGGGATGGGGAGGGGAGTGGAAGTGCTTCTCTTGGCAGCAGCTTTCTCCTCCATCTGTTAAAGCCCACTGAAAAACTGTCCCGAGAACCAAGTTTACTGTTCTCTTAAATTGAAATGGAACCCGAAAGATCTGCTGTGATGTGTAACCAGGCAGTTTTAAAGATCCTAGCAGCAATTAGAGGAGCTAACTGGATCATGTAATATTTAGATATGCTAAATTGATTTAAATATTTTCCACTTCTTATGCCACAGCACTTGTAACAGGAGACACTAAGATAATTTTTAAAGTCACATTTTCCATTGTTTTAAGAGTTCTGGCTCTTTCTTTTTGTATATTTTATACGCAGGCACAGAGGCACAGTTTTTCTAATCACTGAATATTTAAGACTAAAATGGAGCAAAGCTTTTATAAGGAGACAAATCTACCTTTGATCAACTTGACTTGATTACTTACAAGTCCTTTTCACCAACACTCCTGCAAATTCCCAGTTTTTAGCTCCTGAAGTTGCTAAAGGAATGTTTAGAAAACGGATGGGGTTTAGGCAGTCTTTCTCTGCTACCAAACTGTCGTCATACCGGAGTTACTGAGTCTGTTTTGTATTTGAAAGAGAAATGTAGTTCCTGTAAGGGTTTCGTTGGGAGCTCAGATGTTTCATTCTGAAGGATATTTGTGTTTATAAATCTGCTGCTTTAGCAACCCTATTATAGATACAAGCCATCTCCTTGGATCGGAGTCTGAGTGTAAATGCCAGATAGTTGGAACTTGTAATATTTGCTGCAGATCTGCCTTAAAGCAAGGCTTCATGCTCCAAGTTTCCCAGTACTGACTTTGCCCGCAAACCGATCTGGTAGTTTCCTCCTGCTGGCAAGGGGGCACTTTGTACCCAGCGCTCAGCTGAGTGACCCTGCAGGGACCACCCGCTCCCACGGCGGGGTTGGCTCCCGCCGCTCAGCTGAACTGCGGCGGGGAGGAGGCCTCTGGCCGGGGAAGGTCAGGGGCTGGGATTTGGAGGAGCAGGGGCTGTTGGTGACTGGGACTTCTCTGGGGCAGCTGTAAAATTTGTCAGATAAGCTCCCTTTGTTTTCATGCTGTCTGACCCTCGTGGTTGCGGAGAAAATTTTTGAAATATAGAACCAGTGAGTGTTGATAAATTGATGCATTATCATCCCGATTCTGGAAACAGCCTGAAACAAAACCTTTGGAAAGGATGAACTGTTTCTTTTCACTCTCTGAGGGCTTGCTAATCCTGAAACTCACGGGGAGATGCTTGCTATTTCACAGCTAACCGCTTTAGCAGAACTTGCACGGTTTATGCATATTAACTCCAAACCGTCTCCTCCGGAGGCAGAGAGACCTGATCCCTTCCCGGGCACTGTAACCTCTCCCAGCACCCGCGGGCTGCAAATGCAGAAAGGCAGATGCCTGGAGTTGATGCCTCTCCAGTGTGATGTCCGCTGCCTGCGCCGGGGGAGCTGGTAGGTGCAGGATGGTGACTGGATGGTATTTCCTCATTCAATCCAATGAGAGTTTTGAGGTCTTAAAACCAGAAGTGAGGCTGTTACATAATTTCCAGCCTGCTGCAGGGGAGAGCCGCAGGAGGCGACGAGTCCTGATTCAGAATCGGGCCTGACTTTCTGTTTGTATGCAGAACCATCGAAACTGCAGCGGGCGAGCACCCACATCGCTGGGCTGTCGAGCAGAGTCAAAACAGCAAGATGATAATGCATAGCTGCGAAAGTAAGCAGCGGTGGCGATTGAGGCAAGCCTGGATCCAAGCCAAAATTGATGTTGGCCGTTGCCTTGTAGAGCTGTGAGAAGTGGGACCGGTGAACTTTGGGGTGATCAGAGTCGCTCTCGCTGTAGGTGAGCTGGCTGTGCAAGGCAGCTGCTGAGGCAGGGGGGAAACTTGCACTCCTCCCCTCTGCTGTGGTACCATAAAGCTTTTGCTTATGCCTTTCTGGAACTCCAGCCTATCCAGCATCTCTTGTGATGCTTGCTCTCCTTTGAAAGGCTGCTTTGTAAAGCCGTGCTGACAGCTGAAAATGTCATGAGTCCCTCTCCCCTGCTTAGTCCAAGAGAAAAACCTGGTGTGTCTGACATTTCTTTCCTTGGCGCCAGGTTTCTGCTTCTACCTGTTCCGCAGCAAGGCAAGGCAGTAGCTGTGTGGGTTCTTGGAGGGATGGATATTGCTGGATAAAGGCACTGCTAGCCCTTCCCTGGCCAAGTGCTGTCTCATGCCTGCTGCCAGGGGCTGCAGCAGCTCGGCCGCTGCACAAGGGGAGAGAATTCCCGCTTGTGTGATTTGCAGAGTTCAGCCGTATGTCTGCAATACTCTTTTGGGTCGAGCTGGTCTTTATTGTTGTATTTCTCTCTTCGCTGGCCGGGAATCCCTGTTTGTGCAGGCCTGCTAATTATTTCTGCTTCATCTAGCACTTTCTAGGACTGAGCTTTCACGGAGCAGCTCCAGAGGCTCCATAGCAACTGCCCGGCTTCCTTATCAAGAGCAGGGTCACCTGCCAGCTCGGGCCCCTTACTGGGAGCCCAG